ACCTTTGAGTTTGATTGTTCCTTTGGTATCTTTTTCCTCTCTTTTAAAATTTTAACCCTCCTTGAAAAAGTACAGACAAGTCCTGTACTTGGAGGAAATTTTGCGGAGTTAATCTTTTGTACAGTTAAAAATATACAGTGACAATATATTTTTGCGGAAGCAAAGTTATGAGAGTTAATAAGATCTGCACACCCTTTTAGAGAATCGTGTAGCAGTCATGTGTACTTGTGTATGAATGAGTAGAGATCGAAGAGTGGTCGAATGTGGTCGCGTAGAAATCGGGTATTGGTCAAGTTAGTCTGGGATCAAAATTAATAGAAGTCGCAGTGATCTGGAAGCAATCGGGCATTGGTCGAGTTAATCTGGACCACAGATCAAACAGGTTGGCATTGATCGGGAAATGATCGGATATTAGTCGAGCAAAGGTCGAGATGATCGAGTACTGATCGGTAAAATATTTGTATTCCGACCAAACTCGATCTCTACACGATCCTTTCCCGATCAATTCGACCGCTACTCGACGAATTCACGATCTCTTCTCGAGTGACTGGCTTCTCGATCTTTACTCGAATTTTTTTGATATGTCAAAAATTATCTGGTAGAAAGTCACATCAATGACGAGCAAGGTAGACAACCCCGAACATTCTTGTCGATTGAGTAAGACCAGTCTCCCGATGACTTAATCTGTCTTGATCGGGCTTGATCGAGTTGATCTGATCGGCAGTGTGAACCTATCTGTAGCGGAATCGTAACAGGATCTCATCAGGATCATAGCAAGGTCGAGATATGAATATGAAAACTATGAAATATTGAATATTCAAGCCGACCATACCACGATCTCACCGCGATCATATTTTTTTACAGATCGTAGTGGGATCTTCATGGTCTTGGTCTAGTGTGTAAGGGGCTTTAGACGTAAAATAGACAGTACAAATATATTTTGAATACTAAGTATCTTATATACGGTGTTTAATGTAATGAAGTAACTGTAGGATTTGAATGATAGATATTGGTTGTAAGATGAAAGAATGCTGCAGAATGTTAGTATAGGGACTCAATGTTTTCTGTGGTAATATGTAAAATTTGTTGTAGATAATTGAATAGATGATTGAATTCAATAAATATCAAGATAAAAAATATATAGTTCATCTACTGCATCACTAGCCTATCAACACTGAGCATGCTTAATTGTCTAGGATTGCCAATTTTCCTGCCGAAGGTCAGTCGTTTTCTCTAGGCAATCTGGCTTCCTCTACCAATAAAAACTGGCCGCCACGATATAACTAATAGTGTTGAAAGTGGCGTTAAACACCAAAACATAATCAACCAACCAATCGATTTTATATTAAGGAAAACTCTCAAATCGTACTTTCGTGTTAATTTGACCTGTTGACACAATTTGTAATGAATTTCTGTAATTCAATGTTCATTTATTTTGTATTATATCTCGTCTCACTATTTTTAATATGTACCACCTTTGATAAGTATTTGGTAAACGATAATTTTTTCATTTCTGTACTCGAACTATGAACAACAAATTTATTAATTTTGTGAAAAAATGTTTACTTCCGTACTCCTAACAACAAAATTATTATATTCAAATTTACCTGTGTACGTTGTCTTATTTAACGCCATTTTAAGAGTTGTCTATTTGACACTCTTCCGGGATCTTTTATATTACTACCTGTAACGTCTATGTTATATAGGCACCTACGTTTTAATATTGTATTTATATTGTGTCATAGATCAAACTTATTGGTTCAGTGTATGTTTACTTGTTTTTGTTTAAATGTCTTTTTGATCGAGTTAAGCCATTTCAATTGATATTTTATAGTGTGTCTTTTTATGTTGTAATGTTACACTACTGTCTCAGGTTAGGGTGAAGGTTGGCGCCTGTTAAAACATTTAAACCCGCTGCATTTTTACGCACCTGTCCTAAGTCAGGAGCCTGTTGTTTAGTGGTTATCGTTTGTTGATGTGGTTCATATGTGTTTCTCGTTTCTCGTTTTTTATATAGATAAGACCGTTTGTTTTCCTGTTTGAATTGTTTTACACTAGTCAGTTTGGGGACCTTTATAGCTTGCTGTTCGGTGTGATCAAAGGCTCCGTGTTGAAGGCCGTACTTTGACCTATAATTGTTAACTTTTTTATACATTATGACTTGTATGAAGAGTTGTCTCATTGGCACTCATACCACATCTTCTTATTTATATTAATGCGAAATGAAAATCGATTGTGTTATGTTTATTAAAAACGGTAAAATCTACTTCCAGTTTAATCTAATTAAAATCTCGAATTTTGCAAATATGCCGCGTATTTTGCCAAAGCGATCAACAAAGTAAACTGTAAAATAAACTATTCTCTACACGAGAATATGTATTTCCCTTCAAAATATATACCCAGATTTAAGACAATATTCAAGTTTTTCCAGAAAGTATTTTAAAACTAAGAAGGAAGTAAGATATAACAAGACAACAGGAAACAACGTTTAAACGATGAGTGGGATTGCACATTTATGCAAGTGAAATCTTTAGACTAATCTGATTGAAATTATTAACTCACATAACGACAGATTTTTATCACATTTTTCAGTAAAAAGATGTTGTGGTAAAGCTTGAAAACATGTTGCCCCCAAAAAATACGATTCACATTTAGAAGTTTTTTACAGTTTAGATTTTTACATTTTGCACAACACACCCATTGATAAAATACACTGAAACTTATGTTATCTGCAATATATTTCGTACAGTTTAACGTTCGTTTTTTTCGACACATTTGTTCAAATATGAATATTCCAGAAACATCTGTTCCCGCCAAAAACAAGCTTTTTTCAAATGCTTGCATCTCTAACACTTGAAACCGAACAGTCCAACCTATCCGTTTTTCGTTAATTTTAATGTATTTTTATATCATCTTTTGCTAGAAACATGAACATGAAGAATGAAAATGTTGTTGTTTTAAATGGCAACAAGGACATCATTAACTTTTCTTTTCAACCTATTTCATACCAGGGAAACAGCTAAACGTGAAATAAATATATATTTGTTGGTTATTTTTTTACTTGTAAACTCTAGTTCCTGTTCAATCTAAACCTAGAATTTTGCAATTATGCCGTGAATATCACAATAGTTATAACGAGTGTAAACAAGAGAACGACTATTTCTCTTCAAAAGTACATATACAGATTTAAGACCTTATTGCAAGTGTTTTCCGGAGAGCATCCTAAAACTAAGAAGGAAGTAAGATCTAACGAGACAACAGGAAACAACGTAAAAACGATAAGTGGGGTTATACTTTCGGAGATTAAAGATATGTCTGCTTTGATTGACGTTTTATCAAACAACATTTTCAAATGCACATTTTAATCACATTTCTCAAAAAAACAAAATGGGGTGATAAAACATAAGACGGAGTCGTTCTTACAATTATTACACAATTTTAAAGCCTTGTCACTGGAATAAGAAGTACGATTTCAGACATGATTTCATTCTTTATATAGTTTTATACTGAATTGTATCAAAAAGGGTGTGGATTCATCGTGGTCGTTTTCAATTTGGAAAATATAAAAATGAATATATAAAATAGGGTTATGATTTTGACATTAAAGGATCTATATATTAGCGGCAGAATAATATGATGTGTACATTTATGTTACCTTTGTACACTCGTACCAAAATGTCAATGTAGTTCCCCATTCCCAACAGACAAAACACCAACACAAACTCATGGAATTCTCATTAATGGCATAATTATCTAATTTTTTTAAATAAACATGATTACAGCTAAGTATGTGGTTCCTATACAATGAAAAATAAGTATGTCACGTTAATAATTTCCGACGTTTATACGCCCTCTTTATAGGGCTGTCTGTAATTTCAGTGCCACTCTGAAACTGAATTTTCACCATAAAATTATTTTGCTAGTTTAATACGGATTCTTTTCTATTTTTTAAATATTGGAGAGATTTTGCATTTAATGACATCCTTTACCAAAATTCTTATTCATTCATTATAAATTTCTATCGAAATTATAGGGCTGACTAATTTAAGAGCAACGATAGTTCACAATATTCTAAAGCTTAGCTCGTGATATAAAAATAAGAGGATGTATTACGATGATATCGCAAATGAGACAACTGTCCTTAAAGACTGAAAGTATAAAGATGTACAACTTTTTACTTGAAAAAAAACATAGAGAAATGTTACAGAAAACATAACTGATAAACAAACAATTTAAGAACTTGGGCATTGATAGTTTGATGACTATTCTTGGAACGGCCCTCTGTTCGTTTTGTTAAGTTGTTTTTGTTGCTTTTTTAATATTGTTAATTGTTTTGTTTTGTTTTGTTTTGTTTTGGTCTTTTGTTTGTTTGGTTTTGCTTATATGGAGAGGGGTATGAAAGTTTTGTAAATATTCTTTTTTCTGGATTTGCAAGTTACTATTGATATGACATATGTTTGTAAAAAAAGTGTGTGGGGGGAGGGGGTGTGTGTGCTAGTCTCCGCATTAAATTTCCTTTCAGGATACAATTAAAACAGATCGCATAAAGTGTACGTAGGACGGAGAATGATAAAAACGGTAACACTAAGTTAGTAGATACTATAAAGCAGTAACTGTTTGCCTTCAGTGTACGCAATCCCCCCTTTTTGCTTGGAAATTTTTTCTATTATGAAATCGTCCAAATTTTTTTCGCATCGCTTCGCTCGACACTATATTTCCATTTATGAAATAATGCACCCTTTCAAAAATCCTTGATCCCCCCTGATTTGAATCAGCTACCAACAATTGCAAAAAGCTAATGGACACGTTTTTGACCGGACAAGTGTAAGTAATTCGTATTAGAGCACCTTGTCCTACGTTAGTAACACCCTGAGTCTTTGTTCTAAAAATAACTTGTCAAATTTGGCAGTATTAATTTGTAGTTTTAATGAGTTGCAGTGTACTTGAAATACTAAAGTATATAGGAAATCCACCACTTCAATACATAAAATTCTTCTAAACTTTGACTGTGGTAATTCTTCCTTGTTCCCGTTTGAGGTTGTATTACAGAGTTGGTTTCGTTTGATTTCAATAGCATGCTTGTATCAGCAGTATAATGGTATTATTTAGACTTTAATCAAAATGCTAAAATATTTCATTGGACTATATTTCGTATGTGTAAGTATACTGTTTTATACTTTATATGTTTATTACTTCTTAAACTAATAGTTTTATATTGTAGTCTTATGTGATTTCAGCAAACATGTAGAAAAATCAGTATGCTGATTATCAACATTATAATCTACCAAACTAAAAGCATTGTTTTTCCAAAGAATTGGTTTGTAAAATATTATCTTTTCTGGACATAACTATTGGATTTATTTTGAATTGTTAGTATAGATATCATTTTACATGTATACATATATGGATGTAGATACATGTATATGATAATTAGATATAATTTGTTGGTTGGAGGGCCCTTAGAATGAATCGTTGTACTTAACTAAGTTATCTTCTGTATATAAAGATATTTATTTAGTTATGTATTTGTTTTATCATTTATTTATCTATTTACTCAAAATTTTAGAAATCTTGAAAGACGAAAGATAGACTGTAGGTTTTACTCGTTTGACTACTTTCACATTGATAAGATAAGATATTTTTATTCCAATGAGAAAGGGAATTTAATACAATGATTTTTTTTATAATTGATACAAATAATTTTGACAATCATATATAAATATGAACATAATCAACTAACTTTTAAGATCTTAAAAGCCACAGCCAGATCAGAGGGCCATAAGCAGCAATACAACAGATTATATATAATATTAACAGGCAAATATTATAATTTGTTATATATAAACATATCTGTAGTTTCCTGAGTTCAAAACATTTATTACTATAAATTCCAATAATTTCTAATACCTCTAGGTTTTCTTGAATAAAAAGCCAATTTAACTTGGCACTTGTGATTAATATCTCGAAATGTCTACAACTTAGCAAAATTTTATCATAGAGCTCTTTTCTCAAGAGATTATAAAGGGGACATTCACGTATAAAATGTTCTTCATCTTCAACTTTATCAAACGTGCTTTTTTACATAACCTTTGTTATTTATGTATATATTTTTTTGCATATCTATCCTTCTCTATTTTAGGGGGTGTGCACTTATACTGATTTTGCATAGTGCTAATCAATCTTTAAATTCCAAATATTTTCTGTACCTAAAAATTTATTTAAGTGAAAAATAAGTTTTTTTTTATCTTTAATTGAAAATAAGTCAAGAGTTTACCTTTATCTGATTTAAGGTAGTACAACAAATGGAAGTTTTTAACGACCTTGACTGGCAATACAGCCCTTGCACGGTCGGTAAAGGTAGTACAGGGGTATACCGCCATCTTGAATTGTACAATCACAGTAAATAATAGGTCTAGTTCTTTGCCCAAATCTGCAAATTTGGAGACAGAATTGCATAATATTGGTTACACTGTTTATTTATATAAAGAAAACTTAGTTATTCATTGCATTATCGAAAATGTTTTAACAAATACCAAATATTTGTGCTTATAGAACTAATTTTTCTAATAAGCCATTTAAGGGGAGATAACTCTTTTAGTACAAAATTTATACTGGACATATAAGGAAATTTTCCTATTTTACTTGTAGCAAGAAAACAAGTTCGGTGACACCATTTTTCCTTTTTTCCTAAAATATATTATAAAACCTATCTTCTCATATTTTATTTCAAAATTCTGTCTCATAGATTTCTTTGTATGCACACAAATGTGTTTTTTCATGAACAATCTAAGCAAATTTTGGCAATTTTGAACGACTTGTACCTTGAAAAATAGCGCGGTGACCCATACTTTTTATCATTTTTTTGAAAAAAAGCATAGTAAAATCTTCATTTTGGCAAAGTATAAGAAATTTCTGTCATTTTTTTTCTGTACCCCTGAACTACCTTAACAGTATTTTTTCTCAAAATCTCTCCAACAATTCAGAAATCTTAGACATAATTTATCTTTAACTATATTACATAATCGACCAACACTTACATTTAAGTTTGATAAGTTAAGTTCTTTCATTAAAAATCAATACTACAAAACCATGTAGTAATACTTTTACATGTAACTTTTTATTACTAATATATACATCATAAAATAAACCATCCTTTGTGTTCTTTAACCTATGAGTATATTTTAACATGGCCAATAAAATTGAAAAATATATAGGAAATCTTCCTAATTCAGACATAACAGCAAAATTACTAGTACTTGCTTTTCTGTTAACCCCAAGAATATGTGTCATAAGTTTTGTGTGTGATTTTTCAGATATATCTTTTGAATTAATTTTTTCTAAAATGTAATCATTCTTCTTCTTATAGGCTACTGGGGTGGTTAAAAACATTCCCCATATTTCACTGCCATACATCAAAATAGGTTTAATTGTATGGTCATAAAGATGCATTAAAGTTGAGACACTAGGATTTGATGATGCTAGACCACTAGATACAAAAGTAATTCCTAGGTACATTGTGATTCAGGGCCTTTTGTGGCTTGCTATGCGATATAGGGTTTGCTCATTGTTGAAGGCCTTGCGGTGACCTATGGTTGCTAATTTCTACGTCGTTAGGTCTCTGGTGGAGAGTTGTCTCATTGGCAATCATACCCATCTTCTAATTTTTATACTAACAGAACCGATGAAATTGGATTGCATATGTATGAACCGAACGTGACCCGTCAGTACAACAGGAGAAGTTTTAAAGTTAAAGTCTAACAAAATTGTACACACAGCAATAATTTTACTTCTTTCAAGTCCATTAATAATATTACACTTGTTTAATGTTATTTTGGAATGTGGGTATATATATATAATATATATCAATATCAAAACAGTTGTGCAAATTAATTAGCATTCCAGTACATAATAAGAATAACGTCAGTATTGTCGATAAGTATACAGGAACCACACTATTGTAAACTTTTTACCTCATTCCGTTTAAAAGGGGAGGATGTTGTTATGGGCCGAAGAAAATATGTGTATGTTAAGAGATGCCAAATTGGTTTCAGACCTAGCCATGGTACGATATATTGTTCAAGCAAAGATATAGTAACCATTTCTACAAGAGAGATCGCAAGTTTTTTTGTCAAATCATCCTTTATTAAATTTTGGTTGACGGTTTCCAGCGACAGTATAAAATACGAAGATTTGGTATGACTTTGTATGATTGCCTATGAGTCAACTATCCACCAGAGACTAAATGACGTAGACGTTAGCAATTAAAGGTCATCGTACGGCCTTCAGCAATGAGCAAAACCCATACCAACTATAAAAGATTCCGACATAACAAAATGTAAACCTATTCAAACAAGAAAACCCACGGCCTGATTTATGCACAAAACAACAAACGAAAAAAAAAATGGTTTACAGCAACAAACGGCAACAACTGAGTTACAGGATCCTGCCTTGGGACAGACACATACAGAATTTGGCGGGGTTAATCAAAATCCTGCCCTAACCTGGGACAGTGGTGTAACAGCACAACAAAAGAACACACTATAAAAATCGGTTGAAAAGGGTTGGACTCAGTACATCGATATAAAGCACACAAAAAACTTACAGAAACACTAAAAACACAAAGTACCAATCTGAGAATACTTGCAGTTACTGAAAGCTAGTCACAAGTCAATAAGAATAATTTAAAGAATCATGTATCCAAGACAAAATATCAATCATTACACATCCAATGGATTTAGTGTAAAGACCGGCTCTATTAAAAACATCCCCATTAAACAAGGATGGGTTGGGATATCGACGACATAAGATGGACCCAAAGAAAAATTATTGTACAAGAAAGGAAAATAATAACAGGAAACACAAAATCGTCCCTTTAGTCGAAATTTTAGTATAGAGTTTTCCATGTTAATCTGAAATATTTTAATTTAGCAAAGGGCATTTATAGCTGTTTATATTAGATTTATTTAAAGTGAGTTTTTCTCAGTAAATTTCGGCAGTTTAATCTGAGAATTTTAGATTATTTTACTAATTATATCAAGGTAACGGTAGGTGTTGTTGAATTTATCAAATAAATAAAATCGAAACGGATCTTTACTAAGTTTGGCCATACACTGTTATTCATAACAATACAAGAGCATGTCTGTTATTAAATGGGCGCAATTGGTACCCATATGAATATCTACAACCTGTCAATAAACTTTATTGCCGAAACGTAAATATATGTTGTCAAGGGGAAAATGTACAGCTATGATTATCTCATCAGACTTCCAGTAAGTATATATAGCATATTTACAAAAGCTCCTAGAAAATCGAAGAGGCGTTATAATTGTATCATAATAGAAGTTTTGTTTGAAAAAAGTCTATACCAACGTTGTACTATTTATGGATGTTCGCGTGAATTGAATGTTGAATATGTTTCACATTTATTCTATGATCAAGATAAATATTCGGAGCAATAATGTGTGTTACTGTGTACTTTGTGTGTGCTATTTTGACACATGGAACCGTCCTATTTCTCATTACAACCTGTATATAGTTCCTTCGTGTATATGCAACATGCTTATGGTACCAGTTTACAAAAATAGTCATGCATCTGTCCAGGGGTAATACAGGGCTGAAAAATACAGTCCACTATTAACATTCAATTTACAACCAGATATTCATAATAATATGGTAGAAACATCTTATTTCATGGTGATCAGAATGCTTTGACAAACGCGTACACCCACCCTACCATACATAAAAAAGTTACATAAAGATAATGTGTTTTAAGTACCTGTAACCAAGGCAATCTTTAGTCTAGGCTTTTTATTGAAACAAACAGACTTTTTTCCCCTTAGAGGAGTAATACCACCACATACGAAAATAGGTCGTAAAAAATATTCCCTTAAATTTGACAGTTGTAGGTAAGTGATCCTACATTTCATTGTGGTAAAACATTTCTGGGTCATAAACATATATCTTGGGTATTTCAAAGCACCATTATTTTTTTATTTGGGGTTTCTATAGAATATTTTGGAAACTTGAGGTTACATGGTTACTAAAGCTTGTACACAGGTTAAAAAAGGGGGAAAATTTGATTGGTTAACTTCCAGTGATGGTTATTTTCTTATATGCAATGAAATGTTATTTCAAATTTTTTCTATAGTACTGGACAG